TTTAAAAGAATTGTTTATATTTATTAATATAACGATTTCACTTCACTTTCTAGTCCATCGTTTAATCTTTGTTTTGTAAAACAATTTCTAAGTAGGCACAATTTAATTATTTTTTCTAATTTTAAATTTGTATATATTTTTAATTGCACTTAAGCACAATCCAAAAGATAATTAATTAATTAATCTAATTATGACAATTTATTATTATTAATTATATTTCAAGATTACAGAAGTTTTAGGAGCTGTATGTTCTTCAGGGAACATTCATGACTTGTCCAGTTTTCTTTGATATACTGGCTATTAGGATTAAGGATAAGAATTTTTACAAGTATTTCAACTAAATTTCTATCCAATAAAATATTTTAGATTTTGACATAACTAGTATAATGTATACTCATTTTAAAAATACCTATGGAATTTTAAAATCGTATTATTTTACATGACTTTTTCAGGTTAAGAAACCACACTTTTAAAATTAGGCTTGTTGAGGAAGTAAACTGAAAAAAAAAAGCTAAATATCCTGATTTTGAGATGTTATAGCTATTATTTTAAAGCTTGTTTTGTCCTCTTTTAAATCATTGTAAGTCATCTTGAGGCCCCTTGGAAGTTTGCTAAGCCCCCTGGTTGAGAACCACTGACTGCTAAAAACATGTCATTTAATAATTTTGTAATTTATAAAAATTACAATTTATAAAAGATTCAAAAATTCTATTCAATAATTTAACAGCAAAAATTATAAAACAATTAAAATAAATATAGATACTCAAAATGAATTCAGCTTTATTATCATCCAGCATAAATTAGCTTGCCCTTACCGTACTCTGAACTACAGTGGTTAAAGATGACAGCATTCCCATACTACTGGAGGAGATCATTCCCATAGCACCACCCATTCCAAACGTCTTCTCCTCTTCATCTTTACTTTCCTTACTACTGGCTGAATCTGCAGGAAAAAAGCAGAAAGATCATCAATACTTGTGAACTGGTGTGCTTGGTCTTATCTATCCCATGTCAATCAAAGAGCACATCATTACCATCAGTTTTTTCTTTTTCCACTTGAGCTGAAAGCTCCTCAGGACTTGGGATTCCTAGAGACGTCTCTGCTTTCTCAATGGCCTGTGTCAACCCTTGGCCTTAGCCAATGAACGAACAGTATGAGACTTGACGATATAAAAACTGAGCTGTTAAATAACAAAAAGTGAAAATCTTGATCCTCTTACCCACAGTAGCTACAGTGGCAGTAGCGGTGGAGAGGATAGATTTACCCCAGCTACCCCAGTAACCCCAACCTCCCTGGGAAACAGTCGTCTCTGGGGAGGCCTGATGGAAAAAAAAGTGACAGTTTAGTAATAGATGAGTAATATTATAATTAACACTCTGGTGGTATTTTTTTTAGACATTTTACGTTCTGAATTTGTACTTTTTTTTTTTTTGGACATGATTAGAAAAGGCTAAGCGGTTGACCAATCACAACAAACTGGGCCAGCTGACCAATCAGAGAAGACGGAGCAGAAAGGTGGGCTTTAAAGAGACAGGAACTAACACAGAGCATTTATAAACCGAGGATGAAAAGAGGTGCTGCAGCAATGTACCGTCTGAGAAAAATAATGGTTTTTAAACCTTAAATCATGTAAATGTATTCTACAGACCCCAAAAATAAAATTGGAAAATGAAAATAACTTGTAAATAGTGGTGGAAAGAGTACTAAGAAACTGTACTTAAGTAAAAGTGTTGCTACTTAAGGAATAATTTACTTGAGTAAAAGTAAAAGTACTAAAAAATAATATGACTCAAGTAAAAGTAAAAAAGTAGTTGGCTGAAAAATTACTGCGTTACAAAGTACTTTAGTATTTTTTATTTTTTTTTACCCAAAATGAGACGATGAGACCCAGGAAATCCCTTATATGGACAAATGCATCAGATATCACTACAGCTGAATAACATGCAGATAGAGATGCTTTGACTGATGAAACGTGGAAGACAATAAACACACAATTGCAATGCAACGCTAATTGACAGCTTGTTTCACAGTAAAGATTTTTATAAAGAATATTTTCTGTCTCACTGTGATAAGAAGCAACATGAACCACAGAAGCTAACTGTTTCAAACACGACTGATGTTATATAGTGATTTTGGAGCAAAACATGATATTAGTCTCATAAATTGTCATGTTTGACGCTATGTTAAGTAAACATACTACCTATCCCTGTTGCCCAGAGCAACTGTTTTATAACTAATTTTGAAAAGTACATTCACGTATAAGAAGGGCAAAAGTAAAGAAGGGTAAGTGAAGGTTTAAAAGAAAGGGTTTAAAACAGTGTGAATGGAAAGGTGCCAGTAAAAAATAATGTGGGGTATGGGTAAGGTTGGGCATCGTTTGAATTTTAATGATTCCAATTCTTGTCAATTCCTAATTTTGATTCCAATAAGGTAACAAATTAATTAAATGCGTTCAGCATTCGCAAATCAATCTGAATGAACAATATGGCATTAATGGGAAGACTCATTTAAAAAAGTAAGCAAACAACTCACACACTTAGATATAATCACTTTGTTACATCAAAATAAGAAATAAATGGCCTGAAAACATGATCTGTGGGAGTTTTTAGTGAGTAATCAGAGTAAAATTTAAAGTAAATCTCTGTCTGTGACTAATATTTACCGAGCTTTGATGACTGATGAACCGATTAATTCAAAAATAGTTAAAAGTTAACTATTAAAGGGTCATGAAACCCCCCGTTTCAGCACTGGTTAGTTCTCACTGTGCATCGAAAACATATATATGAACCTATAAATGTTGCACCTCTGAGAACTTTTAAGGCTTATTTTGTGGCGTTTATATACTGTAAGCCTTTCAACGGGTTGTGTCACAGAGCTGAAAAAACGGTTATGCTCACCAAGTGAAAGAATCGCGTTTGTGCCGAACTCTTATTACAAAGCAAAAACAAACACTCTTCTTCGATCCATGAACGTTTCTCTCAGTTAACGTTTGCCATGTCATCTCACAGTCTGAGACGTCTGTCACAGCAAATCAACACATGCTGTTGTGAATAATTAAGCGAAGCGTCTTCTCATAGGATAAGAACACGCAGTCTCATGAAAACACAAACACCTCTGCTAAAATCTCAGAAAAAGTAGTCTGGGGTTTCATGACCCTTTAAAAAGAATAGCTGAGCATAAGTTCACAAATAAAATATATTGTTTAAATTGTTACTGCCTTGAGGTAGGCTATTATTTTGGAATAAATGTAAAATGCTTAAAAACACTAACTTGATGAGATTCATACTTGGCTTTAATAAATAGAATATTGATTACATTGTTAATGTAAAAATATAAAATAGAATTATTTTTCCTGGAAGTGTAAGTAATGTTTATTTAACCAAGAACATGTGACTGGACAGGAATTTACATTTACATGTTTGGTAGAAGTGTGATAAAAGCTTACCTCTGAAGCACTTTCTGCTGGTTTTTGTGTCTCTGGAGTCTTCTGCTCTTCCGGTGGAGGTTTATGCTCTGGTCTTCTCCTGGTCTTTCGGGTTGGTGCTACATCAGTAGAGCTGTCACTCTGAGTTTCAGCGGAGGGCTCATCTCGGGTGGGTGATGAAGGCTCTTTGGGCTCTTGGTCCACTGATTTCTCTGTTTGGTCACTTGTGGAGCTTTCGTTGTCGGACATCTTATCACATACCAGTCTCCTGAAATGAACATATAAACAGGCAATTACTTAAAGGATAGCTATGTGATATAAAATTGTGTACATGACAGTGTAGTTTATAAAACTGAAAACCAATACATTTTAACCTGCCTTCAATATAGTACAACGTTAGAGAAAACTGTTATGTCCCTGGACGTAAAGTTCACATCCTTTACGCACATCACAAATTGCTGAGGCCAAAGATTCAGATGTTACTCGAGAAAATGTAATTCAAAACACAGATTATAGACATTATAGTCAACTTCTAGAGATGAGTTGATAATGAAAAGCCGTTATAACAGATGCTGTAGTACATACTTAGCAAATACATCTGTCTGTCATACTGTACTGTACTGTATTTAAAGCTAAACTAACTTTCATCAGCAATATTTAGTCAGTATCCAGTAAGCTGAACGCTATAAATATAATTATAAGGAAGACGTTAATATTCAAATAAACATAACATACCCGGTTAGTCTTCTCTATCGTGCGGCCACGTCACTGGACTTAGCCCTGCTGTGTTTTGTTTTTCCCGTTACACTCGCGCGACCATTGAGGAATGAAAATAGACTCGACATTATTATTCCGCCACCTGCTGTTTGGAGGAAGTACTTTAGGACCAACAGCACATGCGCTCTATAAATGTATGTAAATAATTTTTTTTGTTAAATTTACTGTATAAAACTGTAAGCTGTGGTAGCCAAAACTGTAAAAAAATAACGATGTTACAAAAATGATTAGATTTTATTTACTGTATATTTTACCGTTCTAACTATATTTGTCACATTAATATAACAATCTGTTATAGCAATTACCCACACAGTTATAGTCACAGTTCATCAAAACTGACTTAATATGTTTTTTCCCGCTATATATTGACAGTTTTTTTGTAAGTTACCAATTAAAATGTTTTTTACTGTTTCACATTTTTACATTAACATTTATCATGGTAGTTACATTTGATAAAATATGTAACTTCGAACTGAAGTCCATCCATAACACTTTCCTGTAATAGCTGTTCAGTCATTTATATTTTTACTGAAGTACATTAAATATAATTTTGTCATTGGCACAGGACATTATTTATGTTTACAAATAGAGTTTAAATCTTGTTTTATCATAACACAGTAAAATAACTATCTCAATGTTCTAAAACGTAAAAAAAATCACGCAAGGCTTCCAGATTAGTTAACTTGAAAACCCATAACAAAAACTACACGCCCCAGAAATCCACCTCGAATCTGATTGGCCGGCGTCACACTATTGTGTGTTTTTGACTTCTGTGATTGGTTCACTGCTGTTGGTCGTAGATGAGTCTCGATGTTCTCACGCAACAACATCAGAAACGAAATGGCTGAAGAAGAGGTCGAGCAAACTTCTGGGATTCTTCAGGAAATTTTCACTTCGCCTCTGAACATTAGCTTGCTATGTCTCTGTTTATTCCTGTTGTACAAAATCGTCCGCGGAGACAAGCCTGCAGACTTTGGCCCGGTTGAAGAGCCGCCGCCTAAACTAAAGAAAAGAGATTTTACTTTAGCAGAACTGCAAGAGTACGATGGACTGAAAAACCCCAGAATCCTGATGGCTATCAACGGGAAAGTGTTTGATGTTACAAGAGGGAAGAAGTTCTACGGACCAGGTAACACGCGAATATCACAAATTCAATTATTTCAAACTTTTCTCAGGTGATTTTATTGTATTTATATATTTTTCATTCGAATTACGTGATTTCTTGAATTACTTTGGCATATTTGCTAGTTTTTCGTCTTAAAATATTCTATTAAAATGCATTAATTTAATTTCAGACACGCCCCTTTATGTTGCACATTTTAAACCATGTAACCGTTACAAATGCCAAGTCATAACCCCTAACCTACTATAAATTCAGGATAATGGAGATGTCACGCAACCCTGTTGAAGTGTATCAGAGTTTACATTATTTTTCATCTAATACTGAGACGTCATCGCAGTATTTTGTGCGTTTTTGGAACTTTTGTGCACACTTTTGCAATGCCAAAACTGCTGGTCATCAGTTAATGATCAACTAAACTCGGATAAAGGTTGACTAGACTACTAGACCACACTAAATTTGTCCACTGAGCACAGAATGGTGCTTCATTCAAGAAAATGGATACTACTTGTTTCGCATTCCTGTTAAGCTGATATATTTGTGAAGCGCTAATACCTACTTTGTTTACTTTTAGAGGGCCCTTATGGGGTCTTTGCGGGCAGAGATGCATCCAGAGGACTGGCCACGTTCTGTTTGGAGAAGGAGGCCTTGAAAGACACTCATGATGATCTTTCAGATCTCAATGCTATGCAGCAGGAGAGCCTGAGCGAGTGGGAGACCCAGTTCACACGTGAGTTGAAGGACACTTTTTGTTCCACCCTCAGATTTTGCAGTTGCGCTCTTCGGGAATGATGCAGAAAGCTTGCATTGCTAAATGTTGAGTAAAAGCTTGTATTTGCCTCCACAGAGAAATATGATTATGTTGGGAAGCTTCTTAGACCTGGAGAAGAACCGACAGAGTACACAGATGATGAGGAAGTCAAGGACAAAAAGAAGGATTAGAACACAGAGATCACAGATCTATATGATCTAGTTTTGTTGCAGTCACATTTTGCTGATAGCTCATTTTGACTGTTTTGTCTGAACCTCCATGTCATTTCATATACATCACTGTGACCTTAATTAGCACGCCATATGTTCATAAACAATCTCATATCACTGTATTCATTAAACTAATGTAGTATATGTTATATCTACAGCAACTGTGACTCATAATCATGTCATTTGAAGAATTCTTGGGTAAATATATTCTTCAGGAATATATGGCTTGCTGTAAATATGGGACATAATTTCTCACTCTTTTTTATTTTGAGTGTTGACTCCAGATTTTATCTAACCAGAGAACATTTAAACCAAATGCATATATAAACATCAAAATACACTAGAATGCTTTTAAATGAGCGCCATAGTAAAAGTTGGAGTGGAGATCTCATTCAGGGTTGCTTATCAGACCAGTTTCTCTGATACAGATTAAGACTAGACCCATGCTAAAGAGGGTTTCGAGAAAACTCATCACATACTAGTCTTAACATCTGCTCAGGAAATTTGTAGATTAGACGTAACATTCCATGAGATTATGTTTTCAACTTTTGTTACCAAGACAAGTATTTGCAAAACACCTTTTCTGTTCATATATTAAAGAATATGATTTATTATCATTGTGCTTTACTGATTTTGTTTTAAAGCTCTATGTTTGTTTAAAGTATACATTGCTGATTACTGGTGGTGTATCCATGGACCCATTGTGCCCTTGAATAAAGCATTTAACAAAGCATTTGCTCCAGCTGAACTTTCCCTGTAGCTAGGTAACTTTATAAAGCCTACTGTATGATATTTGGTACATGAATTTCAAAAGGCCTTTAGATTATCAACATAATCAAATCTGCTGAAAAACCTGTTTTACATAATCTACTACATGCCTTCTGTCATCTGATTGAGACTTTTTTTTTTAGCAAGTAAAAGGCCTGTTTGTATAATTCTAGACACGTCCACCCTCAGGTCTTGGTACATACGTGTTTTTGCTGTGAAATCTAATGATTTTTATAAAGTAAATGTATGAATAACTTCTATATTGTTATTAATATTTCAAGATGAACATTTACTGGACAACAGTTTTTCTTTCTTTTTTTCTTAATGTAAACATATATCAAATACGATACAACAGGAAATGTATGTGTGCATCAATCAACATTGCACTGCATTACATTATATGTTTTGCCCACCACAATTAAAACTGCATCAATTATTTAATTAAAGAGATAGTTCACCCAAAAATGACAATTTCTGCCATAATTTCTTCCAAACCTGTTTTGAGTTTCTATTTTTTTTTTCTCTATACTATGGAAGTCAATGGCTAACCAGCAACCAACATTCTTCTGAAAAATGTCTTTAGTGTTCGGCAGAAGAAAGAAACGCAGGTTTGGAACAACCTGAGTGCGATTTTTACATTTTTTGGGTGAACTATCCGTTAATTTCAAGGGGGATTTATATATCATCTCAAGATATATTATTGGAAGATAAACAGTGAAAACAGGAACTTATATATGCATTTTATGTAAGCAATCTGTTATATTGTTAAAATCTCTTTGATATACATTACAAACTATTCAAATTTATATTTCAAATGTAATCTTCCTTTTTGGCCACAGATATAACATCTGTACCAAATTTCATATTTTTGCTCGGTTTGAGCATCTGAATAAAATTGCCGTTTATTTTCTACTTGAGTGTGAGCTCCATATTCTTACTAGAACATTATAAAAAAGCCTGATGAAGCAAATATGATACAACACATGCAAACTTTTTTAAAGATTTACTTTTATATACTGTAAATAAACTAAAGATTTTTCTGACTTTTTTTTTCATATGTCAGGTTTTAATTAGTGTTGAGAAGGTTACTTTGGAAATGTAATAGGTTACAGATTACAAGTTACCCCATTTAAAATGTAATAAGTAGTGTAACTATTTCAATCACTTTATTAAAGTAATGTAACTGATTACTTTTTGATTACTTTTCTAAATTTCTAATGAATGTTTTCAACTGTTACTCATTTTGAAACATTTAAACCAGGCAGGGTTAACCTTACCGTAATATTCAACTCTGATTACTGTCAGACTTTCAAAATCCTCAAAAGTTGAATTAAGATGATAAAAATTTAATTTGAACTACGACAGCAAAAAAGATGTTTGTGTGTGTGTGAGAAAATATTTAGATGTAACCCCCTTTGTAATCGTTAACATTTTCATAAGTAGCCTAACTGTCATTTAATTACACATTTTTTTCAGATTACTGTTACATTTATTTTGTAATTAAATTACGTAAGTCCGTTACATGTAACTAGTTACTCCCCAACACTGGTTAATTATTAAGTCACTTACATACCCCTCTAATTTTGGGAACAGGCCTATGTAAAAATGTAAGTTTGTTTCTTACATTTAAGATATCTGATAACATTTTGATTATTTCCAGTTCAAGAAAAAAAAGTATATGTCAGAAGTGGGATTCGAACCCACGCCTCCATTCGGAGACCAGAATACCCGATTCGTCGGAAGGGAACAACCCTTGAGTCTGGCGCCTTAGACCACTCGGCCATCCTGACATCTCTGAAAATTTTGACTGTACAATACGCTTTTCATTTACGCAATCCAAACTAGACATAATAAATACATAAGTGCAAAGTTAAAACCTAACAACCGGCGAACTGTTTAACTAACTTTACCAATGTTAACACAGGTAAAACAGCAGTGACAGTTCCTTATACAGAAGAAAATGTAAATATTTAAACGCATTTATACTTATTAGTATAATCCCGTATAGGCTAACCATAAATCACATAACCTTAAACTATTTGTTTTAGATTGTTTGTTTTAGTGAAACTGGAAAGAAGAAGTTTGTTTTAGTGTAACATTTCAATTTTACGTTATGTTGAATCTACCGTTGATCGTCTTTTGCGATCCCCTCGCTCGCAGGCCTCGCTCGCTCATTTCCGCTCTGCCATTTTGTTTCTGCCATTCAGTTCAAGGGTATTTAGCACGAGCAGCTGGTTGTACTGAGATATAACCATGTATCGTTTCGCCAAGGCTGCTCTGAACCTCAGCGGTAAGTTAAATATCTTATTCAAGGACAGACCGTTTTATTTCACGTTTCAGTGAACCGTATCTGTTAAATACTCGCCAATAAACAGGCTGTTATTTTTCCTGTATGCTAATGCTAAGTTAGTTTTAATGTAATACATCCGTAGTTCGCTAGTATGTACGTTTTAGCAAATAATTGAATATATTGTCACCTTTTCTCTATAAAGACATGTTTGTATTTTCATTTATTTACAATATGTGGGTTTAAAACCTGTCTGACATCAAATATGGCTCATATAGATTATCTTAAAATGTAAATATTACTCGCACTGGTTGCACGAATTTGTCTTATAGATAGATATAATAGAAACATTTATGAGTATAACATCAAACTGAAAACATGTCCTCAGAATGGTTTGTCTATTAGCTGCAAACTCGCACTCATGTATATGACAAAAAGGTCAGTGGTTGCATTAGAAATGTCTTTTATACATTCAGTGAGTCAAAGTTTTTGACAATTCTTAATTAAGGCAACAAATGATGTGTTAAAGCATATGTTAACTTGATTTTTTTTTTTTCAACAATAGGTCAAAATGCCCGTCAGGTGGCATTGCGACAAAAGTCTGATCTGTCTGCTGAATTTCATGCTAAGTATGGACCTCCTCTGCTGATTGCTGGGGTCACATTTTGCACCGCTGTTTGGGCGTATGTAAGTGACTGCAAACACTAACCTTCTAGTAATTATTTATCTAATTTCTATGTTGTGTATGTGATGTGATTTTGTATACTCTTTGCAGGTGATCACATCAACAGGCATTGCATGGAACCTGTCACCTGTAGGCAAGGTGCAGCCCAAGCCATGGCAGGAGGAATGAATGAATGCATTTCCCCATTTGTGGAATGCATTCACATGATTCTAAATGACATTTAGATTTTTTCCATTTTGCAAATGGAGACTTTTCACCTTATCCAATCTTGTTGCTGTCTTGGCAGGTCTGTAAAAATGTAATAAATTAAATAAAAATCTTAAGATTTGTCATCTGGTTTACTTCACGCTAAATGTGTTTTAGGGTTTAGGTCAGATTTGATCTTACATCAGTTGCACATTTTACATATTACATCAGCTTGACGTATTCTACCACCAAATTAATTTTTGTACATTTTGAAGGTTCGCTTTACAAAGAGGCACAATCACTTTCACGGACTTTTTCATTAACTGTTCCCTCCTGGTGGAATGACCTGCCCAAATCAATCTGAGCAGCTCAGTCCTTAACCATCTTCAAGAAATGACTAAAAACACATCTGTTCCACCTTTATTTGACCCTCTAACTCAGTGTTTCTCAACCCTGGTCCTGAGCGCCCCCCCAACACTGCACATTTTGTATGTCTCCCTTATCTGACACCCGTTTCAGGTCCTGGAGTTTCTTTTAATGAGCTAATGAGTTGAATCAGGTGTGTTTGATTAGGGAGACACACAAAATGTGCAGTGCTGGGGGGTGCCCAGGACCAGGGTTGAGAAACACTGCTCTAACTTTAACACTTTCTATTCTATTTTAATTCTGCTTTATATTTATCTTCTTTTTTTTTTTTAACAACAAAAAACAAACAAACACTAGCTTTCTTTTTTTCTATTCTATCTACTTGTTTTTCTTTGTGTGTGTGTGTGTACACCTTGCTACGTGTACTGCGTTAGGCTAGCCGAGACTTGTCATCTGCACTTATATATTGTTGCTCTTTTGTTAGTTTTGACTGCTTTTATTGTCCTCATTTGTAAGTCGCTTTGGATAAAAGCGTCTGCTAAATGACTAAATGTAAATGTAGTTTTGTTTTTAGAATAAAACTCTAAGCTGTCCATGGAATGTCATAACTACAATTGCTGTACCATGAAGCTAGCTGAACAAACTCTGGGTTACAGGATTGGGTTCACATACCATTCCACTGATCATCAACTTTCTCTGGATGCTTCTAATTTTTTATTTGTGCATCTTCGTTTCCTTTCCTCGTATCTTATCACGAATCAAAGGGAAACGTATTTGTATATTGGAATAATCTTGATTTTTTTCTATTTAAACTGCAAAGATTAAAATATAAACTACAATTATTGTGACATGTGAAGGAGGGGGTTTGGGTAATCTTTACATGAATCAGGTTTTTCAACGAGATGCTATTTCCTCGTAGTATACCTAGAGTTGGGTATCGTTTGGGTTTTTTTCGATACCGGTGTCAAATCGATACTTTTAAAACGGTTCCGGTGCCTAAACGGTGTCCAATCCTGGTCCTGGAGGGCCACAGTACTATAGATTTTAGCTCCAACACACTTGCCTGCAGGTTTCTAGTGAGTCTGAAGACCTTGGTTAGCTGGTTCAGGTGTGTTTAATTAAGGTTAAAGATAAACTCTGCTGGATAGTGACTCTCCAGGAACAGGTTTGGACACCCCTGCTCTAGAATCGTCCTCACTTTAATATTTAACATTAATGTGCATTTATTTATTCATGCCCTTTCATATTTCGTTATATTTAACTACATTCAGAACGTTGTATTTATTATTACAGTATGATGCTGTTGTGTGATGTTAAAGGGCTCTCAAGGCTTTTTTTTTTTTTTTTACAACATCAAAAATATATAGATGTAATAGAAGATTTAATAGATGTATGAAGTAATAGAAGAATAATGTACACATGACTTACGGAGTTGAATAAG